CAGACTGCCAGACAAGATCAAATAAAAAGGACAAGTGATCAAGTGACACTTATAAAAAGTAAAATAGTCAAGAACAAATCTGTGTGTCCCATTAACCCTTGTGCTTCAGATCAGTCCAGTATATTGTAATAATAATGATATTATTATTTACTACTACTACTACTACTACTACAACAACTAATAATAATAATAATCCAATATACTGGACTCATCTGACACACTTTGTCTATGGAAGATAAGTTGTTCCATCAGAATTTGAATTTTAAACGGCTCTGAATTTGTCTTTGTGAATTATTTTACTCTGAAAAAGAGCATCTGATTTTTTTTTTCTTCTGAATTTGAAGCACTGAAATTTCAGTGTATAGTTTTCAATGTGTTTAAAAATTCAATTTTTTTAAAATTCAAAATCATCTATAAAATATTGGATGTATTTTTTTTCAAACCCTCAAATACATCTGTCTAAATTCGCATTGTAAAATACGATGAAGAAAAATGACCCAGCCAACATCCGGGATACTGAGGCATTTGCAATCGCTCTTGCAGAGTCGATCTAACTTCTAGCCAATCACGCAACGGTATAGTAGTCACGGGAACAACCACAAGTCCACGGACGGAAATGGCAGCCGGTGGCCGCTCTTCGGTAATTATGTTCATATTTTCTAACCTTTTTCGAAGCTAATACTTATAAAATCTTACAAATAACAATTGCTTGACAACATTAATGTAAATGCTTGTACTCGCATTATTGGCGATTTGATAGAAACAACATTAATAGCGCTAGTTAATGCACTGTCATGCGCGCTCACCATAGACCACATGGCCCGCGCAAGTCAACCTGTTGTAAGGAAAACAACCACTAGGGGGCGATAGCCGCTACGGCTAATATGAAATACTGTCAACAAACATGGCAGCGCCCTTCAACGATTTGATTGCATTTTATGTAGTGAAATAGAAAGAAAATACAGTGTTCTATGTCACTTATAGTAGGCTAATAAATATATTTGGTAATTTTACAGGATAGTCAGGCTGAAATAGTGCAGTCAGCAAGGCGTTTATTACATTTGCTGACTTCGTCTGAAAGACAGTCAAGTGCAGCAATTCAAGCCTCAAGTCAAGATAACAGGGATTTGCTTCACCATTCATTTGTTGTGAGACGGCGTTCGATTTCAGCAGCAAAGACAGAGAATTTCTTGTTTTGTTTATGCATCAACAGATTACAGTGTACTTAATTATTCATGGGTTTCAAGATATGGCAACCATCCTTCATGGTTATAGAAATAAAGCTATTTAAATTAAAATATTATATCTTTTCAATGGAGAAAGGTCCTCACAAAGTCCTTCAAATCTGGAAGGAATTGTTTGTCTGAAACACATGATTACATATTTACCTTCATTATGCCCAATGTAAAAAGCTACAAATGTTTAAATAAGTGGTTGTTTTATGTCTACCAGGATCTCCTGAACCAAGTTTTGAGACGACTTCAGTCTCGCTTGGAGCTTATTCTGGAACGTATTCCTTTGGATTTGGACTCTATCATCTGAATAAAACAAGCCAACATGCTTAATTACATTTTAAACAGAACATTTTCAAACGAATCAAAAATACGGCACCTTTAACATTTTAGCAATAGTTTAGTGTTTTATCTAAAATCAGAAGGGACCGAAATAACGGCGATTAAACGTGACCCGTATCAAATACACTTTTCATTTCAGCGGACTTTTATTTTGGCGACTTTATTTTGGCAGTCTACTTCCTGTTCGGCTGCCGCACTTTCCCCTTCCTTTAGGTACACGCGCTTTTCTTCCCCTCACTCTCAGCTGCGGCTGATGTGTTTTGTCTGTAAAAACTCTCAACAAAGCTCTGGAATTTCTAAATAACGGCGTATTTCAACTGTCCTGTTAAGGTGAGTCTTTTGCCATTATGTGAATAACTCTTATATTAAATTTCAACGGTGTAAAGTGTCGCTAGTCTGTTTTATTCGAACAAAATCTTCAATTACTCCTTTAACTACCTTTTAACTTCTTTATAGTATGTTTGTTACACAACATTTTAATTTATAAACTCGGTCTAACTGTGATCTCTGCCTGGATATTTTTGACCAGTATTTGGAATTGACATTTTGATGAATACAAACTAAATGCATTTATCTGTCAAATGATTTATTTACACATAATTTACTTAATTCAACTGAACTTTGGATCAGTACTAGGATGAATAATTAATTATCAACAATTAATTATATACATTATACCTGGTTTATGTTTTAGTGCCATAACTCTGTATCGTTCCTACATATGTTACACATACTCTTGATTTAATTCGTTCATAATGTTCATGTTAAAATAACTAAGGTAATTATTTTGAACGATATACTTATTTGTGTTTCTGGCTTCCTAGGTCAGATTTCCCACGGACTGATTCTGTGATTTGAAAAACAACCTCAACTCAACAAACTTCCAGATAATGAGCTAAGAGTCTGTGCGGTGGGACAGACTATTTGTTTTGTTTTATTGGACCTGGGATTTGTACAAACTGTCTTCAAACTGTAGTTTATAATAAAACAACTGAAAATTAACTACTTTTGTTCATAGACTCTAATTCATTTATTTATTTGTTACTTTAACTTTTGTGCTTTATAATCTCATAATTTATCTTTGTCTCTCATTTTACTTTTAATACATTTATAATAATCAACCTTTTTGACTGCTGGTTGTTATTATAACCTGTGCTCCTTTAATGAACTTTTTATGTTTCCTATTTTAACACCCTTAGCCTGGCCTCGAAACTAACGTTACATAAAGCATAGTCAAAACTTCTCTTACAGATATTTTTAACATGCAATAATCTTTTTTTTTTTTTTCAGCTGAAGCAATCGGGTAAATCTGTCCCTCTACCTTAGGCCTATGTTGGGTAGAGGTCCACTGCTGACCCCTTGGTGTGTTGACAAAACTTTTGGCAGGAGTAAACAGTGTATGTGGGTAGCAGCATGTTAGGATTCTTCTGTGACTCACACCACTGATGCCCCGTCTCCTAGCAGCGACGTATCTCTAACCTTGACGTTTGGCACAGATTCCCATTATGCCTGCACTCTTTTGCCAACTTTATTGTTTTTATTTTGTGATGACAGTACATTACCCGTTTGTATGTTAACATCTTTATTTTTGGGTAATATAACGATATTAGTATTGTCTTTTATCACTCGCTGCGCTGCCTTAGTATTTTGGTCTGCACCAAATTTAGAAAAAGACACAGTATCACTCATGTTTAGTGTAATCTTGTAATGCCAATACAGTTGACTTCATTAGTTCACTTTTTATTTTTTTTTTTTTTTTTTTGAATGCCAAATTTGCCTCTTCTGTTCAAGTTACTTTGTGATTTATTTCCCTAGGTTCAGGAAAAATCAAGTCTTGAAGTGGCTTTGCTAGGAGGGCCTTTGCTGTCCATTTTAAAGGAGTTGTCATGGTTATTTGCTCATCATAAATTAATTTATGCAGTGGGTCAATAATTTCAGCGTAGTTTGGAATCCACTGTCTGCAATAATTTTGTAAGACCTAAAAATGATACAAGTTGTTTTTCAGTAATAGTCTTCGGAGCAGACAAAATCACAGTTTTTCTGCTTTCTGCTATAGTTTTTCCTCCTGCATGTAAGGCGTTTTTGAGCTGTTGTTGATACGGACCCTGCGTATCATCACTTTCTTCTAATCCACTGTGTGTTTTAAACACTTTGGTCATTCTAATTTTGAAGTCCTCAAGTTTTTCATCTTCTTTTTGTTTGGTTCTGGAAATTTCACTATAATTAGCCAGTTTCTTGTATCTAGTTTTAGTTCTCTCTGCCAGGGCTTGTATTCTGACAGTCAAGTCCTGAGCATCATGTTTTAGAGATTTACCATCAGTTCCTGAGGGATCCCAGTCACCTCTGACATGGCTCCAATTGGAGCCCAGCGCAGCCATCCAGGCCTGCTGCGTCTCAAGACCATTTAATTTATAGGAGTCTCTGAGAGCCTCCATTTCAATACAGAACTGATTTACATCGTCTTTGTAAGGTGTAATGCCTTCTACGGCCTTCTTTACATCCTCAGCTGTCCAAGTTCTGTATACAAATATAATCTCACTCTGGTCTGCGAGTGGAGACCCCTGCCTGCGTAGACATAAGCGGTTCTAGGTCAGGGTATGTTTTGTCTGGAGTTTCGAGCCCCCCCCCCCCCCCCCGTAGCATAAGGCGGAGGAAGGAATGCAGCGTGTGCTGCAGCACTGTCCTTCACATGTGTAACCATGTCTTGTGGGACTTGTTGTGCAGGTGGTTGTAGTGGGCGTCTGATAACAACAACTGTCTCATAATCTTCTTTGTTTTGGAAAAGCATTGTGTCGGCTTTCGATAGAATTTCTTTATTTTCCTGCTTTCTTTTCAGACGTCTCTCTTTAAGTCTGGCTGTGTCTAACCAATTGTCTAACTCTCTAATGCCGTTTTTACGCATTTTCCTTTCATTATTTTTGGTTCTTTCTTTAATTTGTGCGCGCAGTGCCTCAAGGTCTGACACATTAAGTCGCCCCTCAAAATTGTATTTTGTTATCCATTTATCCAAATATTTAACGTTACTCTTGTCATTATTTTCAAGAACTTTATAATCCTTGCATTTTAGCCTATCTCTAGGTCTCCCTGTAGAATGTTTGTTACCCATATTAAAAGAATTTGGACCAGTCCTATCACTCCTGGGGAGGTCTCTAAGAACTGGTTTAACTTTTCTTGATTGAGATAGTGATTAACTTATCTTTGTGGTATTTCTCACTTCAACCCGTCAAGGTGGAGAAATCTTGTCTTTACATCCACAAAGACTCACTATTTCCTTTCTCAATCGATTGGTATGAGGACAACAACCTAGTGGTTATTATCTTCCATTCACACAACCAGTCACACTCAGTTTTTATTATTTTCAATTTTTAAATTTTTATTGATTTTCTTATTTTCTCGGCGCCAACGGAATTTAACCCTGGAGGACTCCGGCAGGAATTTAACCCTGGGAGGACTCCGGCATCCTTCACATTATCTACGGAATTTAACCCGGGGGACTCCGGCATCCTTCATTATCTACGGAATTTAACCCGGGAGGACTCCGCCATCCTGTATAAACGGACTTTTACTCACTAGCCTGTCAAATTACATCTAGTAGTGGGGCTCCGCCGCCCTCTCACCTATTAGAGCCTAGGATTTATAGGGTTTCTCTACGCGCAATGACCCCCAGTCACTCGCTAGTAGTAGTACTTTATTTTTTAGCGTATTATTGTCCAGCATAGCGTTAGATTTACGAAATGTTTATTACGTGGTCGTTAGCATATAACTTCATTTCGATGCTAATCGCTACGTCAATGAACAATGCAAAAACAATTCTACATGTGGCAGTGATTTCTATCAGGCTCTGGTGTTACTCACGTGTAGTTGAGTGGTTGTAAGTCTTCAAAACAGTCCTGGTATTTCATAGTTTGTGGTGATAGATGGCTAACGCTAAGACGAAATTGGGGCTAACACTGGGTCTATACAGGTCTATAAGCATTTCATCCAAATCGGTATCTTACATTCTACATGGATGTGTGTTTGGCACTTGTATTGTAGGCTATAGATGTTACGAGATCAATGTTCTGAGGTGGAAAAACAGAGAAACTTACATTTTCATCCTTCAGTGTCTGGATGACTCCCTCCTCTGTGTTACGCTCCCTCAAAAAAGCAGCAGTTGAGCATCTATTGCTACATGAACAGACGGTAAACAATTAGGACAATTTTACTGTCACTTTACTCCATAACATTTCCACTATAAGCAAGAAGCATTAGCTCACTAGTATTTAAGCTAGCATTTTGTTTTGTTTTTTTATTTAGCTATAGCATGCACACTATGCCACGCTACTACACGATCCTGGATTTTATACAAGCCTATATAAAATATAGGGGGGGGAGACATATAAATAATGATATATCTTACCTTTATTTGTGTCTGCTGAAGTCCGAGGTCCAGCTAGCCATGCAAGAAGGACTTGCCAAATCAACCGAACACCACGCCCTGTTTGTTTAATTGGCGGCATTTTCTTAATTCGTGGGAACGATTTAGCTAAAATGTGGGAACGATTTAATCAAAACGTGCGAACGATATATCTAAAACGTGCGAACGATTTAGCTAAAGTGTGGGAACGATTTAATCAAAACGTGCGAACGATATATCTAAAACGTGCAAACGATATATCTAAAACGTGCGAACGATTTAGCTAAAGTGTGGGAACGATTTAATCAAAACGTGCGAACGATATATCTAAAACGTGCAAACGATATATCGTGCGAACGATTTAGCTAAAGTGTGGGAACGATTTAATCAAAACGTGCGAACGATATATCTAAAACGTGCAAACGATATATCTAAAACGTGCGAACGATTTAGCTAAAGTGTGGGAATGAATTATATATTGTGGGAACGAAATAGTATTTTGAGGCCACGATTTAATATCTTTTTTCGCGTACGTGATCGGGATGTCATCGGGCGAGCTCCGTAGTAAAAAGCAGATTTCCCGTTTCCGTGACTGCGATGCCAGATTTTATCTCGCATACGGACTGAACCAGAACTAAACCAGGACTATACCAGGTCTAAACCAGGTCTAAACCAGGACTAAACCAGGTCTGAACCAGGTCTGAACCAGGACTGAACCAGGTCTGAACCAGGACTAAACCAGGTCTAAACCAGGACTAATCCAATACTAAACCAGGACTAAACCAGGACTAAACCAGGTCTAAACCAGGACTAATCCAATACTAAACCAGGACTACATGTTTTATGACTCATGTAAATTTTGATGTAAATCACAGATTCTCTTCCAACAGTTTGTGATGTTTTCATAATCATCCAGGGCATGTGTCACATATTTTACAACATGATTTATTTAAACATTTTCACTTTATTAACTTCTTAACTTAATTTAACTATAACAGAACATAAAATTACAAAATCAGATTAACCTGTAATAAGTTGTTTGAAGAGAATCAGTGATTTACACACAAGTTAAATGAGTTAAGTTGAAATCACAGATGTGCATAAAATCATCTTATATTATAATTTTTTAATAATTCCTGGAACATAACATAGAACACATGTTATTACCAAACAGTTTAGAAGATACAGTTCAGGTGGGGGGGTTCAGGTGGGGGGGGGGGGGAGTTCAGGTGGGGGGGTTCAGGTGGGGGTTCAGGTGGGGGGGTTCAGGTGGGGGGGTTCAGGTGGGGGTTCAGGTGGGGGGTTCAGGTGGGGGGGTTCAGGTGGGGGGGTTCAGGTGGGGGCCGATGCGTGGGTCTCCTCTCAGTTTCTGCTCCAGGTCCTTGTACTTCTGGGGACCGCACTCCTTAAGCCTGCACACACACACACACATGCACAACACACACACACAAACAAACACACACACAAACACACACACAACACACACACACAACACACACACAGATTTTATAAAAGCCCTATGTAATATAATAATCCTAACTCCTCACACTAAACAATCATTCTTAAAAAACGATTTGTTCATTATGAATTAAGTCTAAATGTAACTGTCGTGCCAATGGAGATGAGGCTAATAAATCCACTGTGCACACGTCCATGTATTTCTTGGAATAACTTTGGACCTGGTTTTGTTTAAAACAGCACAAATCTGGTATGGTGCAGTTAAAGTGTTTTCAGTGTTGTTTGAAACGTTAACCGAAGTGTTTTCAGTGTGTTCTTACATTTCGAGGCGTTTCCGGGCGATGTGGATCTGTCTGGGCTTGGTGAGGTCGTCCGGCTGCTGCTCCTGAAGATCTCTGCTCTCCTTAAAAACACACACAGGAAAACTCTGAATAACTCTGAGCACAAACACTGGGCCTGTCACAGTGAAGAGTTTATGCGGTAGACCGTGATGATCTCAGGGGCCTGTAGAACTCTACGGAAGATTCACTGTTTTTAAAGAAATCTCCAAACTTCTGATCCACAAATGTCTCACCTTCTCATTATTTGTTTGTGATCGGCTCCACAGATTTATATTACCTGGTCGATGCGCTCCTGGATGAGCGTGGCGCGTTGGACCATGCGGTTCCTAAAGTCCTGGAGACAGTCCTGGTACAGGGTCTGGACCTGGTCCGGTCTCAGCTCCATGTTTCCGTTTAGACGCATCAGCGCCGGAGCCAACAGGTCCTTCTGCTGCTGCTCCAACCAGCGCAGCTCCTCCCCCAGCAGCACCGCCTGCACCCACAGTCACAACACAACCACAACCTCAACCACAACCTCAACCACAACCTCAACCTCAACCACAACCTCAACCACAACCTCAACCACAACCTCAACCTCAACCACAACCTCAACCACAACCTCAACCTCAACACAACCTCAACCTCAACCTCAACCAACCTCAACCACAACCTCAACCACAACCTCAACCTCAACCTCAACCACAACCTCAACCACAGTTTATCCATGGAAAGCATCTTGAGACGCGACGTCTCGATTTCAAGACGGACCAAGAACACACAACATACAGTTACACACAGTTCCACAACAACACATACAACAAGACAATATATACAGTGGTCCCTCGTTTATCACGGGGTTACGTTCTAAAAATAACCCGTGACAGGTGAAATCCGTGAAGTAGTCAACTTTATATTTTACAATTATTCTATCTGTTTTAAGTGTGTAAAACCCCTCACCACAAACTTTATACACTTTTCTCACACAGGACACTTACAACACTTTTTACATCCTTCTTAACCCTCTCCAGGCAGGTGTTGCAGATTTGCAATAGCTAAATTCCAAGTACCTACTTACTCCACATCCATATTTTATGAGCTTTTTTTACTCAGGAGCCTTTTTTCCCATCCATGCTGATAAACGTGGACGATGCAGACTGTGCAAGAATAGCTACATGCAAATGGTCTGCCAGAAGTGCAAAATACTTTTTTTGTTTACAAAGGATAAAAAAGTCAGAATTGTATATTACTACCCCATATTATAATTTTCCCCAAATATCAGATTTTTCCCGATACTAAAAATTAATTTGAGCCTGAGAGGGTTAAAACTTATTGCTGCTGTCGTCCTTTTGTTATTTTCCTCCTTTATGTAACAAACCGAAGATTCATTTATTCTATAATGGAGTCCTACAGCGCAGAGTCCTGCACCGTGTAATACATCACTACCCGCCTGCATACCCACCCGCCCGGAAAATTCCAGAACATTAAAACTCGCCCGTTTCAGCAACTAATTGCCCGCGGGGACCCGACCCAGTGCAGGACTCTGCTTCAGCCATGTAACGTCTCTCTTCCTTCAGTGTGTCCACAAGTCCAACTTTTTGTGTGATGGTTAAATCTTCCTCTGTCTTTTGGGAGCGAGCGCAGGAGACTTTGTCAGTGCAGAACGTTTCGTCGACATTGTGGGTTTTGTCGGAGAGAAAACTCTCAAACATACAACACTTCAGAATCACACTGATACAGATCCAACAATTATGTACATTTGTCAAACTGAACACATTCTGTACTGTACAGGAGACACGGCACGGAGGAGATTGATTGACAGTGATCTACAGTCTCTTAGCCAATCAGGACGCAGGGGGAGGGACACACTGCACGTTCATACACTGTAAAAAAAAAGCATGCAAAATTGCACACAAAAAAATCAGCGAAACAGCGAGACCACGAAAAGTGAACCACCTTATAGCGAGAGACGACTGTACACACAAACACAAACACAAAATACCAATGGATGACAGTGAAGTTTGCAAAATATAAAACCTTTAAAAAACAAAATGAAAAAAACATGTATTTTGTGTTCTTGCTCAGATATTCGTGTGTATTTGTGTGTTTGTGTGTATTTGTGTGTGTGTTTGTATTTGTGTGTTTGTGTGTGTGTTTGTGTGTATTCATGTGTGTTTGTGTTTGTGTGTATTTGTGTGTGATTTGTGTGTGTTTGTGTGTGTGTTTGTGTGTATTTGTGTGTATTTGTGTGTGTGTGTGTGTTGTGTGTGTGTTTGTGTGTGTGTTCGTGTGTGTTTGTGTGTATTTGTGTGTTTGTGTGTGTGTGTGTGTGTGTGTGTGTGTTGTGTGTGTGTTGTGTGTGTATTTGTGTGTATTGTGTGTGTTTGTGTGTGTGTGTGTTGTGTGTTTGTGTGTGTGTGTGTGTGTATTGTGTGTTGTGTGTTTTGTGTGTATTTGTGTGTTGTGTGTGTGTGTGTGTTGTGTGTGTTGTGTTTGTGTGTGTGTGTGTGTTTGTGTGTATTGTGTGTGTGTTTGTGTGTGTGTGTGTGTGTGTTTGTGTGTATTGTGTGTTATTTGTGTGTGTGTGTTGTGTGTGTGTGTGTTTGTGTGTATTCATGTGTTTGTGTGTGTGTGTTGTGTGTATTGTGTGTGTGTGTTTTGTGTGTGTGTGTGTTTTGTGTGTGTATTGTTTGTGTGTATTTGTGTGTGTGTGTGTGTGTGTTTGTGTGTGTGTTGTGTGTGTGTTTTGTGTGTATTGTGTGTGTGTGTTGTGTTGTGTGTATTCATGTGTTTATTTGTGTGTGTGTGTGTGTATTCGTGTGTGTGTTTATTGTGTGTGTTTGTGTGTTGTGTGTGTGTATTTGTGTGTGTGTTTGTGTTTCATGTGTGTGTGTGTTTGTGTGTGTGTTTGTGTTATTTGTGTGTGTTTTGTGTGATTTGTGTGTGTGTGTGTTTGTGTGTATTCGTGTGTATTTGTGTGTGTGTGTGTGTATTCATGTGTTATTTGTGTTTGTGTGTTTTGTGTGTGTTGTGTGTGTTTTGTGTGTTGCATGTGTTTATTTGTGTTTGTGTGTGTGTGTATTCATGTGTTTATTGTGTGTGTGTGTGTGTATTCATGTGTTTATTTGTGTGTTTGTGTGTTTATTTGTGTGTTTGTGTTTATGTGTATTGTGTTGTGTGTTTATTTGTGTGTTGTGTGTATTCATGTGTGTGTTTGTGTGTGTATTTGTGTGTTTGTGTGTGTTTTGTGTTTGTGTGTATTGTGTTTCATGTGTTTATTTGTGTGTTGTGTGTATTCATGTGTTTATTTGTGTGTTTGTGTGTATTCATGTGTTTATTTGTGTGTTTGTGTGTATTCATGTGTGTGTTTGTGTGTTTATTTGTGTGTTTGTGTGTATTCATGTGTGTATTTGTGTGTTTGTGTGTATTCATGTGTGTGTTTGTGTGTGTATTTGTGTGTATTCATGTGTGTATTTGTGTGTGTTGTGTGTGTGTATTTGTGTGTTTGTGTGTATTCATGTGTGTGTTTGTGTGTGTATTTGTGTGTTTGTGTGTATTCATGTGTGTATTTGTGTGTGTGTGTGTGTGTTTGTGTGTGTATTTGTGTGTTTGTGTGTATTCATGTGTGTGTTTGTGTGTGTATTTGTGTGTGTTTGTGTGTGTATTCATGTGTGTATTTGTGTGTTTGTGTATTCATGTGTTTATTTGTGTGTGTTTGTGTGTTTATTTGTGTGTTTGTGTGTATTCATGTGTTTATTTGTGTGTTTGTGTGTATTCATGTGTTTATTTGTGTGTGTGTTTGTGTGTATTCATGTGTTTATTTGTGTGTGTTTGTGTTTGTGTGTGTATTCATGTGTGTGTTTGTGTGTGTATTTGTGTGTTTGTGTGTATTCATGTGTGTGTTTGTGTGTATTGTGTGTTTCATGTGTGTGTGTGTGTTGTGTGTATTCATGTGTTGTGTGTTTGTGTGTGTATTTGTGTGTGTTTGTGTGTATTCATGTGTGTGTTTGTGTGTATTGTGTGTATTCATGTGTGTGTTTGTGTGTGTTTGTGTGTTTGTGTGTATTCATGTGTGTATTTGTGTGTTTGTGTGTATTCATGTGTGTGTTTGTGTGTGTATTTGTGTGTTTGTGTGTATTCATGTGTGTGTTTGTGTGTATGTGTGTATTCATGTGTGTGTTTGTGTGTGTTTTTGTGTGTTTGTGTGTATTCATGTGTGTGTTTGTGTGTGTATTGTGTGTATTCATGTGTTGTTTGGTGTGTGTATTTGTGTGTATGTGTGTATTCATTGTGTGTGTTTGTGTGTATGTGTGTATTCATGTGTGTGTTTGTGTGTGTGTATTTGTGTGTGTGTTGTGTGTATTCATGTGTGTGTTTGTGTGTATTGTGTGTATTCATGTGTGTGTTTTGTGTGTGTATTTGTGTGTTGTTTGTGTGTATTCATGTGTGTGTTGTGTGTATGTTGTGTGTGTGTGTGTGTGTGTGTATTTGTGTGTTTGTGTGTATTCATGTGTGTGTTTGTGTGTGTATGTGTGTATTCATGTGTGTGTTTTGTGTGTGTATTTGTGTGTTTGTGTGTATTCATGTGTGTATTTGTGTGTTTGTGTGTATTCATGTGTGTGTTGTGTGTTTATTTGTGTGTTTATTTGTGTGTATTCATGTGTGTATTTGTGTGTACCCTCTCCCTGCGTTTCCGGGCCAGGCTGGTTCCAGACGTGGTCCAGGGACGTGTCTCCAGCTGCACCTCCTTCTCCTCCACAGCTCTGCTCTGCACCAGGGACTGCACCTGCCGACACAGGAGGAGGACAGGGTCAGTGTGACTCCACGGACAAGTCATGTGGAAAGAAACAATCAAACAGACGCTGGACCTGAACGACTGTGTGACGGAACTGCCACATGAGCATGAGGATGGACAGTCTGCACATCTCATAGTATTGGTTGTTTTTCCTAAATATTGGCATTGATTCAATATTGAAAACATTTCTGATCTTTAGAAAGTCATAAGGTACAAGGGACGGGCATTCGATGAAATTTTCTTAATCAATCGTCAGAAGAATTAACGATTATCGATTAATCATGAACGTTTTTATATTAAAATGATCATCATTATTATTACTATCTGCACTAATCTGTATAAATAAATTCAACTTTACGACATATAAACATAACGACTCTAGATCCACATCAGCTGTTTGACATTATAATGTGTTTAATTCAGTTTTGTTCAAATCTCACAGAAACAAAACTTAAAACCACATCACTAATTTACATAAACTAAGTGAAGATAAAACTCCAGCTCTTGTGTCGCTGATGTGGTTCAACTTGTGTTGGATTAAAAGACATGACTCAGGTGAACACAGGTTAGTGTGACCAGATTTGTGTTTGTCAAAACCAGGACAGCGTACGGGGGGAGGGGGGCGGGGCCTCGTCATCCACATTGAGCGACTCTCACCTGGAAAAACTTTTTCCCACTGGACACAGAAACATATGTGCTGCTTTATACACTGTGCACATGGACTCACACTTGTCCCAACGCAACGGAAAGTGTGGAATTTCTTGTACAAATCCTGGTTAAATCCACATTTGTGCAGAGACACATGTACACACCTGTTTGGTCACACTACACACAGCAATTAATCAATTATCGATTAATCAACTAATCATGCCCATCCCTATAAGGTACATGTGAGAAATTTATGGGAACTGAACTTCACTGTTGTGGACCATTTTAAACAGATCTGAGTGACCTGAGGATGCCGTGCTTCGAGTCTTTTTGGGGAGGGTTTTTTCCTGCGTCTGCGTTTCTCCTCTGCACCTGTCACTGTCTTTAGGCGCTTCAGTCAGGCTTATTAAAACCCTTATTAGTATTAGTTGTTGTTTTGAATAAAATCTCTCTGGCTACGTTCAGACTGCAGGTTTAATGCTCAATTCGGATATTTTTTTGTGAAATCCGATGTTTTTTCGAGGTCGTTCACATTTCCAGTTAAATGTGACTTGTATGTGACTCCAGTGTGAACATTAAACGGCCCAAAAGTGTCCCACATGTGACACTGGAGACACGACGACGTCAACCGCAGCGAGCGTCTCTGTGTTTACACAAGTTGTCCAAACATGGACGCAGCATCGAGCACCTGGAGATTTTAAAGTTCCTCTCGTACCGGAGCCAGAACATGAACAACTTACTTGTTTTAAGGAGGAGATTGAGAAGGAGAAGGACGAGGTTTTTGGTCGTGGTGTTTTGTGGTGAGTGGAGATGTGCTTCACTTCAGTCACACGGAGTTCATTAACAATTTTCTCCTACTTCAGCGCAGAATAGTGACGTTTGTGTCTTGTTGATAACGTGTAGGTGGATGAATGGTGACCTGACCGTTCACACTGAAGTCACATGTCAAAAGATCAGATATGTATCAGTTTCAGGAGCACATATCCAAGTGTCCTGGGTCACATTTGAAAAAATCGGATCTGTGTCCTTCAGACTGTTGGTAAAAGATCAGATACAGGAACATAGAGGCCAAAAAGTTGGATTTGGGTCACTTCAGGTGCAGTGTGAACGTAGCCTAAGTTTGCACGTTGGGTTTGTGTAGAAGTGTCGTCTGTACCGAGCTCATCGAGTTCTTGATCTGTCTGATGGTCTTCTGCTCGTGCTCCATGAGGCTGTGGAGGAGCTGCTGGAGCTGGGGCAGTTTGAGCGTCTCTCCCTGACCATCCACCTGGAACACGAGGAGCACAGGTCCACACGACAGGTTTAGTTTAGTTTAAAACACCTTTTCTGACAAATATTACAACTCAGAACCAAGGCGGGTTTGAGGAGAGCACCTGAAATGTGGAGACCATGTCCATGGTGAAGTCTCCAGCCTTCTGCTTCTTGGTGGACTCGGTGGGTTTCTTGAAGCTCCTCTTGGACGGGATGAAGAGGTTGTCCTCCAGGTGATAGGTCACCTCTATGCGCCTCTCAGCCAATAGGAACTCTCGCTTTGCTATGTCCTCACCTGCAGCTTTGGACGGGTCTCTGTGGAACTGCTCCACCACCTCCTGCGGACACAGCTCAAGATCACGGTCCGGTTTAGGTAGTTGTAGTTCTAACTCACCTGTTGTAGTTCTAACTCACCTGTTGTAGTTCTAACTCACCTGTTGTAGTTCTAACTCACCTGTTGTAGTTCTAACTCACCTGTTGTAAGCTCTAACTCACCTGTTGTAGTTGTTGTAGTTCTAACTCACCTGAGTTCTAACTGTTGTAGTTCTAACTCACCTGTTGTAGTTCTAACTCACCTGTTGTAGTTTTCTAACTCACTCTAACTCTGTTGAAGCTCTGTTGTAGTTCTAAACTCACCTGTTGTAGTTCTAACTCACTCACCTGTTGTAGTTTCTAACTCACCTGTTGTAGTTCTAAACTCACCTGTTGAAACTCACCTGTCTAACTCACCTGTTTGTAGTTCTAACTCACCTGTTTGTAGTTCTAACTCACCTGTTTGTAGTTCTAACTCACCTGTTGTAGTTCTAACTCACCTGTTGTAGTTCTAACTCACCTGTTGCTAACTCACCTGTTGACCTGTTGTAGTTCTAACTCACCTGTTTGTAGTTCTAACTCACCTGTTGTAGTTCTAACTCACCTGTTGTAGTTCTAACTCACCTGTTGTAGTTCTAACTCACCTGTTGTAGTTCTAACTCACACTCTACTACTCTCACCTGTTTGTAGTTCTAACTCACCTGTTGAAGCTCTAACTCACCTGTTGAAGCTCTAACTCACCTGTTTGTAGTTCTAACTTACCTGTTGTAGTTCTAACTCACCTGCTTGTCTAACTCACCTGTTCTAACTCACCTGTTGTAGTTCTAACTCACCTGTTCTGCTAGTTCTAACTCACCTGTTGTAGTTCTAACTCACCTGTTGTAGTTCTAACTCACCTGTTGTAGTTCTAACTCACCTGTTGCTGTTAGCTAAACGAGCTCTTTCTGGTCAGATTGTGTTCAAATAACGATCAGATTAAGTCTCACTTGAGTAACAGAACTTCTATCAGAGTAGTGCCTACAGTTAGCGTCCCAAGTGTGTATTACCAGAATGTTCCATGAGCCCTCGGTGTTGTCCTCGCCGTCCTCTTTGCTGGTTTTGGCGTCTGCGGGGCGCCTGAACTGCGTGTCTCGTTGGAACAGGAAGTCCCGGCGCTTCTCGAAGGTCTCGATCATGTGGTCGCCTCGCTCCAGTCGGCGCACCAGCCCGTCCGGCCGGAACGACACGAAACGCATCTCCCGCTCTGGGGTCACGGCGGGGTCAGAGGGGTCGGGGCAGGCCTCCGGGACCCGAGTGTTGAACCTGTGGACTGAAACATGAAAAATTTGAAATGCCCTGCTACTTTAGTTGACTGTTTTTGCTGGTTGGGCCAAACCAAGACGAGTTTAACCCAGAGACAGTGAAGGTCAAATCAGACAGTATAATAAAAGTGGACTAAGGGAGTGTGACGTCACCCAGAGCATTCAGTTGCAGCCAAATGAAGCTCAGCAAGGCCGCAGTTATATTAGCAGGCCCCAGGTTGGTCTGTTATTACTGTATTTTTCAGACAGTGTCACTTTTGTTCCTGGTTTGTGTGTTTCCTGTGACTTATTCTCCGGTGTGACGTCTATATTAAAATGTTTGAGTGAAGTGTGGAGAGGTTCTAGTCTTGTGTGTGAGTATCTGCTGCTCCTGTTCCTCCTGTACCACTGTCACTTGGCTCTACTGCAGAAACCCGGGAGGATGCACCATGAAACTTTCCTGAAGTCACTGGATGGATGGACAAAGCCTGGACTTCAGTGACACCGAAACCATCCTGTCGGGATTCAGAAAGACCTGAATAATTCTAACTGGAACTGATGTCGAGTCTGACGACAGCGACACAGAAGAGTTTGCGTCGCTCTGTTTACCTCCGGAGGTCGAGTTGTTCAGAAGTGACACCGAGGATGAAGAATTGAATGGATTTAGTGATTTGGAGTGAGATGGAGAGTTTGGTTAAACTTGTTCTGTTCTGTTGTTTATGTTATAGTTTATCTGAAGAACTGTTCATATGTGACGTTAACAGTCTGTTGTTCTCTGTTCTATTGTTTTTACTACAACTTGACTTTACACAGGAAATGTCTGCTCCTGATCTCTCATTTTATCAAATCCATTTCCCCCAAAAAGTGTGACTTATTATCTGAAAAATATAGTAATATCATCATTTCTTGATTTGACAAAATAGTGACATAAAAATGTATCGAGGATCTTGTCCAGCAAGTTCATACGAATATTTAAAGACCAAAATGACAATGGAGTGTGGAGGCCTAAAGGGGAGAGTGTTTAGTTTCACCGTAACGAGGATTTTCATGTCTGTGTGCCATGTATTGTGTGTGTGTGTTTGTGTGTGTGTGTGTGTGTTTTTGTGTGTGTCATACAGATGAGGGTGTCGTCCCGGCCCGGTTTGAACGTCTCTGTGGTGAATCCTCCACTGGTCTCTCTCTCCTTCAGCCGGTCGCTTCTGTACTCGAACCACTCCCTCACCGTCTGCACCTGCCGCTCTGAACGCCACAAACACAAATCACACAAATACTACTCCAGATGTGTACTTCAAAAGTCTTAAACTACACTAAACTGACTCTCGTGATCTTTTAGCCGTGTTATAAAGTCACTACCTGCTCAAAAACAGACCTGGAGTACACACACGTTTGATTCATCCTTTAATATTAGTCTGTCTCAAATTGCTCTGTTCCACCGTGTGATGTTTGTTTTCTGTTTGAGAGCAGAACTCAGCCTCAATGTGCAGGTTTGTGTTGTTGTTAAATGTGTTTGTGATGAGGAAACTACATTAGAAGACAGATCAGGATCAGTGGGATCTGGGCCCTTTAACCCCGTCAGCTGTATGTTTATTTGATTTTTTGTTACCAGATGAGGCAGGTGTGACACCTGTCAGTGAAACCACCTGTGCTTCTCCTGTCAGGTCAAAGCTAGAACAATATTAGACAGCAATAACCAAGACAGAATCTAGTGGTGAAGTGTGAGAATACAACAGACTGGGATGGACAATCTCATTACAAACAGCAGCTTTAACAAGGTAAATTATTTTTAAAAAAAATGTTATTATGGTGTTCGTTCATCACGGCTTCACTGAGAGGGAGATACTTTTATTTTTGGACCAAAATACAACAAAAATAAAATACTTTTCATTACACAGGAACTGACTCTTATGATTTTAAATGTAGGTAATTAGAATTGTATAGTTCAGATTATACTCAATAAATCCATGTTTTAAAAATCTATGTACTATGTAATCTATGTGGTACATGTAGTACACGTGGTACATGTAGTACACGTGGTACATGTAGTACACGTGGTACATGTAGTACACGTGGTACATGTAGTACACGTGGTACATGTAGTACAGAGGAGAGACGTACTGTCGTGGTCCTGGTAGAGCGTGAGGCGGGTCACCACTCCGTCAGGGCAGAAGAACGGGATGAAGTTCTCCACTGAAGCCTGTTTGAAGTGAGTCACTTTGAATCCTTGAGGCCAGCGCAGCTCCATGTCTGAAACGGGATTTGGACAAAATGTTTCTCTGACGTTTTTAAACTATAAATCTGTTTTATTTCAGAATGCATAAGGTCAGGTTAGACACGATTCTGTTTAACACACGACAAAACATCTCAGTGAAGTTCATCATGTTCCTCCTGGTTGGACACAGCAGCAGATGTGACTTACATACAGATTATTTCATAACTGTTCCTTAGCAACCATGATGTAAACAAAGACCAAGCTGTTAGAAAAATGTGTTCAATGTAATTTTGTGTTTCAATAACTTGGACAAAAGACTCAACACCTGAACACAAATGGCACCTCAAACAATTATCAGTCTGGATTTCACAAAAAAACATTCCTCACTGCTGAAAATAAAATATAAAAAATATTTGTACCTTTCTCAGTGATGTGGATCATGGAGCACCAGGACAGGGGCATGTCGTAGCTGTACGGAGGACCTGTCTCCTGCAAACACAAGTCCACATCAGTCCACAGATACAAACAGAACATCTCAGAAACACCACAGACACCAAACCTCAGCTTCAGTCTGCTCATACTCATCCCAGTTTTTAACAGAAATATTTTAATTTGATCTAAAAAATATTCTCAGTTTATGTTCAGGTTTCATGTGAAGCTCAGGATCTCCAGAGCTCCTCCCTGAGCTGCAGAGGCTGCACTAGCACTGACCCAGGGTTGGTGCAGGTTCTGGGGTTTAGGGAGAAACGTTCAGATCAGAGACACATTTTAGATTTAAACACACTGGATTTCAGCTTTGAACAGACAACCCACATGAGAGAGTCATGTGAGGCTCATTCTGCTTCTGATTGGAGAATAAATAACTTCAATAAAGTTATAAACAACTTGTCCATCATGTTCAGTGTTTCTGTGAGACTAAATCAGCAGTACAGTTGTTATTAATAAAATAAATATTTAAAATAGCCTGGCTCATATCTGGGGACACGGTTAGATCATGTTTATAGAATTTAAAATTAAAATGTTGCACTCAGTCTCTTTAAATGACACCACACAGTGAGCGAGTGCTGCAGTTTACACAGGCAGTCTGACCTCCTCTTGGGTCTGGACACTCACCTCTTGGGTCTGGACACTCACCTCTTGGGTCTGGACACTCACCTCGTTCAGGTCCAGTCTGTTCTTGGCCAGCGCCTGCAGCTGTTTCCTGGAGGTGGTGCCAGGGACCAGAGGCTCCCAGTGAGTCCGGTCCTCCGGGTCCCACACTACGTCCTGTGTGAATAAGAAACAGTAAGAGTCTGAAGAGTCACTTCAACATCAACTAAAACTGAAAACTCACAAAATAATACAACATTTGAAAAACACATTTTCAGGAGCCTGATCAGTCAGAGTTGTATTTGGTTGATTCATGTTTGAGTAATTCTGTTTTGTCTCACATTTGAGGACTGAGAGCTCAGAAAATGTGTCTACAACAGCATCTTACACCACCGAATGTGGAGTGAATGAATAATGATTTGTAAAAGTGTCTTTGTGACACACGTCTTTGAAAGAGCTACATAAATAAACCCGACTTACCCCACCCACCGCCTCACCTGTCTCCACACAGTTTTTTAAGGTCGAGGTCAAACATGTCGAGTTTATAAATGTCATGTAGTTATTTTTCTACAGTAAAATCAAGTAAATAAAAGTGCACTGTTTCTTCCAGTGAAATGTCACTGAAGAGGAGGCTCCATTAGTTTTAATGAAGATTTGAACAAAAAGTCAGAGGAGCTGTTTCTGTGATCAAAGTGCACGTGGCAGATTCAACACATTTAAACTAAATGTACTTCATACTTTTAAACTTTTACTCCTGAATTCACCTAAAACACCCAGAGTGTGACGTCACTGCAGAGAATCAATGTGTTTACCAAAATGTAGAGTCTGGACAGTGAGAGGAGCGCCCCCGTGTGGGTGCTCGTCGTACCTGGCACCCGTTGGCGCAGTCTTCCATGTAGACGTAAACGTTGAGCTCGTTCCACACGCTCTCCACGCCCAGGAAGTCCGGGTGCTTCGTGGGGAAGGAGTTTCCGCTCAGAGGGTCAATGAAGAAGTCGTGCTCCACGCTGCGACTGCCCGCCAGCACCAGCACCCAGAAGTGAACCCTCAACCCCCACAGAGGGTCCGGGGCAGGAGGAGGGGGCGGCTCCTGCAGAGGAAGAGAACCAGGGAGTAAAGTACTTAAAAGTGAAAAGTAAAAGTTCTGAGGTATCTGTACTTTACTGAAGTACATTTTACAGTGCATACTTTGACTTCACTACATTTGAGAGCAGGTGTCTGAACTTTCTACTCCACTACATTTTTAAACTGGACTGAAAAGTAAAAGTATTTTTATTATATCAGATGAAGAGAAGAGGGAGAGTGTTTCACTGGGTCATAAAAAAGTTGAAAAATAAGAGTGAAGTTGCTTGACGAGGGTTAAGTTTAAGTCTTGTACCAAGTCTTGTATCATTTATGTCTTGTATTTTTATATTTGAACTTGTATAGCCTGTAATTTAAATTTGTTAAGCCTACATGTCCCATCATGCATCAGGGGACTGTGGGCCAGCCCACTGTGAACATGTGACCTACACCTATGACTTTAAATCTGCACTGTGATAAACATCTGGAGTTTGAGCTGATGAAGCTGAAGGGTATTTTAACTTTATCTGCCGTGTGCTATTAAAGGCTTTGAATATATTTTGAGTGCCTCAGTTTTTTTCCTACTTTGTATTTGAGACTGGTGCCTACACTGAATACACCAAAAGAACAATTCTGCACATTTTTTGCATATCCAAGTCGCTCTCCTGCCCCCAAAGCTTTGCTGAGTTTAAGTCTACGTTTACATGACGAGGGTCTGAACAGAAGATGCAAAAGTGTCGTTGTGTCTTCACTTTTTATTC